CAGCAGAACTCATAATCACCTTTTTTCCCTGGTGCTGTGTCCTGGGAAGGTGGGGCTTTATTTATAAGTTCCTGACCTGCTGCCTTTTTTCAAAGATGCCCTGTCCAGCAAGGAGGTAGCTAGTCACATTCTGCCAGCAGAGGCGTTGCTGAGCTCCCGTTGGCTCTCCCCAGCTGCTGTGTTAACTTTCTTGTGGTTTTGTTTTTAGAGGTATAGTTAAAACTGCCTCGGTAATGGCGGACTGCCTCGGTAATGGCAGACGCCCTTCCCCCTGCAGAGCTGGACCATCCCTTGTCCAGCTGTGCTTGCTGTGAAATTCTCAATCCAGAGCGTTTCAGATTACTGGTCTTTTTAGGTGTGAGTTTTTGTGCAGAGACCCACTGTGCCAGCTGAAACAGCCGTTCTGGAGACTCGTGGCACTTTTCTGCCTGGGAATCTCCTGGTCTGTGGGCAGTGAAAACTCGTTTGGAAATGCAGTGATCACTCACCCTCTGCATTCTCACTGGGAACTGCACTCCTGAGCTGTTCCTATTCAGCTATCTTGGATCGTCTCCTAGAAAGTGATTAATTATTTATTTAATTTCTATAATAGATATAGGGCTTTTCAGGTTACCTCTTTCTTCTTTTTGAGTTTTGGTGGTTTGTGATTTTTAAGAAGTTGGTCCATTTTATCTAAGTTATCAAATTTGTGGGCGTAGAATTGTTCAAAGTATTCCTTTATTGTCCTTTTAATGTAGGATGAACCTTCTTTTATTTCTGATAATGACAATTTGTGGGGTTTTTTTTTTCCTTAGCCTAGAGATTGATCAACTGTATGGCACTTTTTTCTTCCAAAGGACCAGCTTTTGGTTTTGTTCATTCACTTTTTCTGTTGTTTATCTATTTTCAATGTAAGTAAGGATTGCATTAAACCTATAGATCACTTTGTAGTGTGACATTCTAAACCATGTTAAGCCTTCTAGTTCATGAACACAGGATATCTTTCTATTTATTTGTGTCTTTAATTTCTTTCCTTGATGTTTCATGGTTTTTTTCAGTATATGAGTCTTCTGCCTCCTTGGTTAAATTTATTCCTAAGAATTTTATTCTTTTTGATGCTATTATAAATGGAATTGCTTTCTTAATTTTCTTTTTGGATTGGTTAGTGTTAGTGTAACAATAAATTATTAGTATTTAGAAATGCAACAGATTTGTGAGTGTATTGATTTTGCATCCTGCACTTTGCTGAATTTACTTGTTAGGGTTTTTTTTTTTAATGTGGAATCTTTATTTTCTACATACAGGATTGTCATTTGTGAACAGAAATAATTTTTCTTCTTTCTTTCATATTTGGATTCCTTTTAATTCTTACTTTTGCCTGATTGCTCTGGCTAGGACTTCCAGTACTATGTTGAATAAGAGTGATGTGAATGAGCATCTCTGCTTTGTTCCTGATCTTAGAAGGAAAGCTTTTAGTTTTTCACCATTTAATGTGATGGTAGCTGTGGGTTTTTCATATAAGGCTTTCATTGTGTTGCGATCATTTCCTTCTATTCCTAGTTGGTTGGGTGTTTTCATCATGAAAGGATGTTTAATATTGTCAGATGCTTTATCTTTATCAATTGAAATGATTCTGTGGGTTTTTTAATTCTGTTAAGGTGGTGTATTACATTGATCACTTAGGCATGATCTGTAGTCCTTTAATGTGTTATTGAAGTTGATTTGCTAGTATTTTGTTAAGAATTTATGCATGAATATTCATCAAAGAGATGTTCTGTAGTTTTTAGTATCTTTGTCTAATTTTGGTGTCGATGTTGTGCTGACCTCATTTGTATGAATTTGGAAGTTTTTCCGTTTTTATGTTTTCAGAAAGTTCAAGAAGTGTTGCTGTTAATTCTTTAAATGTTTGATAAAATTCTGTAGCAAAGCCACCTGGTCCTGGGCTTCTCTTTGTTGGGAGGTTTTTGATTACTGATTCAATCTCCTTACTAATTATAAATGTGTTCAGATTTTTTATGTCTTCTTGAGTCAGCCTTCATTAGTTATATGTTTGTAGAAATTTATCTGTTTCTTCTAGGGTATCTAATTTGTTGGCATACAGTTGTTCATAGTAGTCTCTTAGGAACCTTTTTATTTCTGTGGTATCAGTATAATGTCTGTCTTTCACTTCTGATTTTCGTTGAGTCTTGTCTCTTTCTTAGCCTAGCTAAGGGTTTGTTAACTTTGTTGATCTTTTCAAAAAGCTAACTCTTAGTTCCATTAATTTTTTTCTATTCTCTATTTAATTTCTGCTTTAATCTTTATTTCCTTTCTTCTGCTATTTAGTTTTCTTCTTCTTCTTTTTTTTACATCCCCTCTCCCCAAGTTAGTTTGTTCTTCTATTTCTAGTTCCTTGAGGTTTAAAGTTAGGTTGTTGATTTTAGATGTTGTCTTCTTCATCTTCTTTTTTTTTTTAATGTAGGCATTTACATCAATAAACTATCCTCTTCTGCTGCATCCCATAAGTTTTGCTGTGTTATGTTTTTGTTTTCATTTGTCTCACTATGTATTCTAATTTCCTTTGTGGTTTCTTCTTTGACCATTGGTTGTTTAAGAATGTGTTGTTTAAAACAACTTACAGATACTTGTGAATTTTCTAGTGTTCCTTTTACTATTGATTTCTAGTTTCTCTCCTTTACTTTTAAAGAATTATTTCTCTGGATACAGAATTCTAAGTTGGTGCTAATTTTTCTTTCAACACGAAATATTTCACTACACTCTCCTTGCTTACATGGTTTATAATGAAAAGTATGCTATAATTCTTATCCTTGTTCCTTTATAGGTAAGGTGTTTCCCCCCTGCCTCCCGTGAACATTTTTTTTGTCTTTGATTTTGTTAAATTTGAACATGATATGCCTAAACTTGGGAGTTTTTGTTTGTTTTTTGTTGTTGTTTTGGTTTTTGCTTTATTGGACAGGGTGGGTATTTATTCTGTTTGGTGTTGAGCTTCCAGGTCTGTTGTTTAGTGTTACCATTTTTTGTAAATAAAGATTTATTGGAACACAATCACTCTAGTTGTTTACATATGGTATATGTCTGGTTTAGTACTATAATGACAGAGTTGAGTAGTTGTGACAGAAACCGTATGGCCCAGATAGCCTAAAATACTCAATATTTGACCCTTGCATAAGTGGATCAAATAATTTACATTTTAGTTCTCACTTTGCCATTAATAAACTGCGTCACTTTGGGCAAATCATTTAATATGTGTGTCTTTCACTTGCTACGTTTTGGAGGAATTTGGACTAGATGCTTTCTGTTCTACTCAGATCTAGAAATTTATACTTCTGTTTGGTAGTACCATGTTTGAGGATGTATCCCCTTTTTATTAAGAGTAATGTATTGCTTTGTTAAATAGTATGATAAGAGAAGAAAATGTTAGGATATATTTTTATGTAATTTTATTTACAAATTATGCTAGATTTGGATGATAGCACTTTACTTTCCTTCCTACTTTTTAGCAGTGTATTTGTGATTTGAAACTAAAATTATCATGTTTGAGAACCCTTAACTCTGTCATGATTGTATTATTTTTGCTTTAAAATATGTTATATACAATTCTAATTTGGAAGATGATTCAGTCTTCTGAATATACTACAGTTATTCTCATCTAGAAGTTGCTACTATTAGAATTTTCCAGAAAAGTAATTATGTTGGCTTTGATCATTGTGATGAAACTTAAAAAATGTATAGATGTTGATTTGTAGGCTTTTTCTGTATTTTATTTTTAAATGGGGGACTGCTTATCATAAGATACTGTTCATATCATTCAGTCATATCAGAATGTTGTCTAGTATATTACCAGATTCAGAGCATTTTAATTTAATAACCTGGACTTACCACATTTCATAAGTTTTTAAATGCTTTAAACACACCTTTTGGATTGCAAATAAATTCTGAAACTTCCCCTCTGTCACCACTGTGATTAATTTTAGCTTTAGGAATAAAATTTGAACCACATAAACAAGTTTTCAGACATTTTCAAAATTTGTTCTAGAAATTTCACTATTAGCAATATATTGTGATCAGATTAAAGTTGTTTTAAGATAAATTGGAATGTCTTGAAAGTTCTGGAAGGCTCTAAAATGCTTTTTAGGCAAAGAAGAAAGAAGACAAACCCAGTACTTGTAGAAAAGTAAATAAAATAAAGCTTGTCTGTCGTAAACAGGGGAATCTTCTTATGTCAAACTGCCATTTTAACCTCCTTTCCTTCTCTTGTTTCTGTCTGCCTACCTGTTCTTTTTTTTGTGATAGAGTTACTGGTCTGCAAAGTCTTCAGTATCTCAAACTGTCTTAGGAGTTGTCCTAAAAACAAGTCATTATAAATGACCTCTTTAAACAAGTTGCCTCTTTTCTCCTGTTTTCTTCCACAAATACTTAAGTTTGCTTAAAATAATCTTTACTTCCAAACTTTAAAGAATTATTTGCAGAACAGGAAGCTAAAGAAATAATTTTAACTTATTGTAGATATAGTATAATTCAGGATTCATTCTTAATATAAGAGAGATAAATTAGTAGCTCACGACATCTCAGATAGTGTATGAATACATTAGAAGATGTTTCAAATAATTATATTCCTCGGCTCTTTTGTAAAGGAAATCGAATTTGAATAAGAAACAGTATGTTACTAGGAATTTCTTTTATCAACTGTGCATTTTAGAACAGCATTTTAGTTAGCATCTGTTTCTGAAATTTTAGACTATTATTTAATTTTTACATATGTAAGTTTATAGATTATATAATTTCAAAGGTTATAGCACAATTAAAATGTGAAAGAATACACTGATGAAACTTGTGTAACTTGTGGTATATACAGTTATTTGATAACTTGCCATTTTTGTTTTACCTTAGGGAAAGTTCACCTATGGTATACAAAACAACTAACTATATTACTTCTGTGTGTTAATAGAGAATAGGAAATACACAAGTAAGCGTTCTGTGTTTTTCTTCTCCTCTAAGTTACTTTTATTTTTTCCCCTTAGAACTCCTTGATCTATGAACTTTTCTCTGTTATGGTTCATTCCGGGAGTGCTGCTGGTGGTCATTATTATGCATGTATAAAGTCATTCAGTGATGAGCAGTGGTACAGCTTCAATGATCAACATGTCAGCAGGGTAAGGATATGTCCTTTAAGATTATTACTCTGAAAGATGGGAATAGGGATGTTTCTAAACAACAGTAAAGTTTATTAAGGATGAGTGAATCTGTCTGGTGATACATCTTAAGACTCATATCAAACCAGTCTTTAATTTTTGCTTTTATTAAAGTTCTTGCCTTTTTTATTATTTGTTTTGCTTGTCTGTTTGGGGCTTGCTGAATATCTCCAGAGATAGACTACCAATTTTCCTCTGGGCCTGAGCCTCAAAGGTGCTCCTTTTACTTCACATGTGATTAGGAACACTAGAACTGACTGGCTGGTAAGCAGCCACTGATTATGATTAAATTTTGTATCTGTGTGAGCAATCATGAAGGTCTTTGATAGCATTTAACTCTGAGGCTAAAGATTGAGTTACATATTGACATTAATGTGAAGTGTTACAGAATTTGCAAAAAGAAATCATGTAACACATTTTCAGATAACACAAGAGGACATTAAGAAAACACATGGTGGATCTTCAGGAAGCAGAGGATATTATTCCAGTGCTTTTGCAAGGTGAGCAGTTTTCTAATTTTCAGTGTTTAAAAGTTAGAATTAATTATAGCTTCTCAATGTTTTTTATCATCAGAGATTTAACCCAGGTATTGACAGACTACAACCCATAAGCCAAATCCAACCTGCCTCCATATTTTGGAAATCAGGTTTGAACACTGACATAGCCATTTGTTTCTACATTATGTGTTAATGCTTTTGCACTATAATAACATAGTTGAGTAGTTGCAGCACAGACCATATGGCCTGCAAAGCTTATGATACTACTATTTGGTCCTTGCCAGAAAAAACTTGCTGGCTCCTGACTTAACTGTTGTATGTAGACATTCCAGTACGCAGTTTTGTTGAAGGCTTTACTGTGTTATAAAGAGGAGATATGGAATCTTCTCTAAATGTGATAAGTGGAAACAGATTTTCCTCTTATCTGCAGTGTTTTAAATCTGAATGTGTCTGTGAACAGTGGCATGATTTTCTAATTGTTTTTTAAAAAATCACAATTTAAAATAAATATTTCATGCTTAGAAGTGGAATCTTTACAATCTACTTTTTGTCCCTGTTAATCTTTTTTATATTTCTACTAGTTCCACAAATGCATATATGCTGATCTATAGACTGAAGGATCCAGCCAGAAATGCAAGTATGTTTACTTATAGTTATATGATTTTAATCTGTGTTGTTAACTAATTTCTTTTGTAAGTTTCGCAAACCCAGATAACTACTTTTAAATGATAGGATAATTAAGTTGTTTTATGCCTGGAAGAATTATTTGCAAAGACTGTTATAAAATAATGCCAAATGCCAAACCGTAAGGATCTTGAAAAAATGTTGTTGAATTATTTTTTTAAGATATGAAGAGACAAAACTACATTAAATAAATTGAATGTTTGTTAGTAGTAAGATTGTATAAAATGCAGTTTGATGCAGGGATGATAAACCCAGCTTTGTCCTAACTCATCATCTGTGTGTCCTAGAGCAACCTTTTCTAAGCTTTTCTTTTCTTTTTTTGAAACGGATTGTCGCTCTGTCACCCAGGCTAGAGTGCAGCGGTGCAATCTTGGCTCACTGTAGCCTCTGCCTCTTGAATTCAAGTGATTGTCCTGTCTCAGCCTCGCGAATATTGAGAATTACAGGCATGCACCACCCAGCTAATTTTTGTATTTTCAATAGAAACAGGGTTTCGCCATTTTGGTCAGGAAGGTCTCAAACTCCTGACCTCAGGTTATCCATCCGCCTTGGCCTCCCAAAGTGCTAGGATTACATAGTCGTGCGCCACTACACCCAGCCAACCTTGCTCAGCCTTTCTTTACACATCTGTAAAATGTGTATAATAGTATTTTATAGAGTTGTTATTACAAATTTTAGTGAGATAACATTTTCAACATTTAGCATCATATCTGATATATAGTAAAAAATTAAATTTAATGATTATTGCTTTCTTTCATTGTCAAGTTTTTGGAGTATTTTAATATTTAAATGCTTTGATTGGGGATCCTGGGTGACCTGAACTTTTGATTTACCACTCTGAAAACATTTTTGGAAGCTAGAGTTAAGTATTTATACTTATTTGATTTAAAAGCAAGTAAGGTTTTATGTATCTAGTACACGTTTTATGTGTTGTATTAAGAACCTCGGAAATAATCCAGTATGCGAAGCATGTTTGTTTGGCTTTTTAAATAATTATTGCTTTAAAAAAATTGCAGTTTTTGTTTTTCCTTGCTAATTCTGACTCTCTCAGGCTGCGTTGCAAATATGTAGGGGAGTGTGTACATACTGATACATATACAGATGATGTGTTTGCTCATGGTCTTTTCATAATTAAAATGTAATCACAATCTTTGATTTCAGTATATTTCCTTTGTTTAGAAACTACCATTGCTATTAGTCTGTTTCAAGCATTATGTTTTTATTCACATTTTTGTAAACCCTCATTAGATGGTGAATTCAGTTGATGCAAGATTAGGATTTACTCATCTTTTCACATAAAGTATATTCCAGGATCTGTCATATAATAACGTTCAATAATTTACTATGGAGTTATTGAAAAAATAAATGAAAATTATAATAAGTCATTTCAGAACAGAGACTTAAGAGCAAAAGTAATCATTTGTACTGTTTATCTATGCCAAAGTTGTCCCAAATCATAGCTATCTGGAAGCAGAGCCAGTATTGTCATTCATGTCCTTCATGTGGACCCAGCCTTCCAAAAGTGCAATAACTCAGCCTTCTTTTACTCCCCCAACTCTAGTTTTGTTATAAAGCACCAGAGGGCGCTGTAGGATACGGAATGTTTTTTATATTAGAGCACTTTCCTAGAAGCAACAGCTTTTGCATTTTACAGATGCATGCTATTTTTGATATAAATCATTTTCCCTTTTTAATGCCAAATAATCATTGGTTTTATTAAATGGTGTCATAATTTCATATTGTCACTTTGAATGCTTTAAAAGTACATATGAAATTGTGATTATTAAGAAAAACTTTAATTATATGTGAGTCTGTAGTAACTATTTTTTGCATATATTTTTTCCCTTTAACTAGTTGTTTAAAAGTAGCCTCAGAAATTATGTTAGGTTGTCCTTGCATTGCTGTAAAGCAATACTCCAAACTGGGTAATTTGTAAAGAAAAGAAGTTTAATTGGCTCACAGTTCAGGCTCTGCAGGAAGCATGATGCTCAGCTTCTGAGGAAGCCTCAGGGAGCTTTCAGTCATGGCAGAAGGCAATATGGAAACAGGCATTTCACATGGCAAAAGCAGGAGCAAGCAAGTTGCGGGGGGTCAAGGGGGTACCACACACTTTTAAATGACCAGAACTCATGAGAACTCACTGTCACAAGGACAGCACCAAGCCATGAGGGATCTATCCCCATGACCCAGACACCTCCCACCAGGCCCCACCTCCAGTACTGGCTATTACAGTTCAGCATGAGATTTGGACGAGGACAAATGTCCAAACTATATCACAAATAATCATCACTTTTTATATTCACATGAATCTTGACCATATAGAGAGGGAGAAATCCAAAAGATGAAGTCGTCAGTTTTGTGACTCTGTATTCTTTGGTTAGGAGGCAGCTAAAGACTGCTTTGAGAACACAGGAAAGATGGTAGTAAACAAATAGATAGCATTTAGTGGCAGCAACAGCAGCAGCATTTATTAAATTTTTTTATATCTCAGGTAGCTTTATGAGGTAGATGATATTAATAAGCTAAAGAAACCTACATTTGGAGAAGTAAACTTGCCCAGGGTCACACAGTTTGATGGGGTTGGCATGATTTGAAGTCAGAAATAATTTTATTTTCAAGTTTCAGAGGGCTTTTTCATTCCTAAAATATTAATTCACATACTGGAGTTGTTCTGGAGCCAAGAGCCATTTTGAATAAATACATGTTTTTTTAAGATATGAGACCTAACCATGTTTCCCTGTTAACTATCGCTTCACCCTTTTCTGTATGAAGTTTGTGTTCCAAGTTGAGAGAAGGATATAATTGAGATATGTCTCCATGAGTGCTGTAGTAGAAGTATATACTATGGGAGCATAGTGAAGCAGAATGAATAAAGGGAGCTCAGTTTCAGTGACACTGTTTATCCTGTTTTTATTACTAATAGAATTTCTAGAAGTGGATGAATATCCAGAACATATTAAAAACTTGGTGCAGAAAGAGAGAGAGTTGGAAGAACAAGAAAAGAGACAACGAGAAATTGAGCGCAATACATGCAAGGTTGAATTCCATAATTTTATTTTTAATTGAAAGTGCTATTTTTAAGCTTGCTTAACTGCAATTCTCATGACTAACTCATTGATTTTTTAGACAGTTATGCCATCATGATCATTGAACAATGTAACCAATCATACTATAAAGGTAAAATTTGATTTGATGTGTAAAAACCCAGTAATATATGTAGTGACAGTGCTCAGTGCTGGTGAAGCCACAGTTGAGGTAGACATTTTTTTATCCTATTAAAAGAAATTAAATCAGTAAAAACTGTATAGAAATTGAATAGTATTTATCAAGAGCCTTAAGCAAATTCATATTCTTTTACATAATTTCTCTTACAGAATTATTTCCTAATGAAGTAATCACAATTACTGTAAAAATCTTAATTACAGGGATATTCATTATAGTATTTTACAAATTAGGGAAAAATTGGAAACAACCCAAATGTTTATTGGTAGGGGAGTGATTACGTAAATTATACATGTGTATGAGAAAACATAGTTATTAAAATTAATGGTTTTTTAGTTTTTTTATGGCATGAATCAGTATCAATTAGTAAGAATAGATACACGAACGAATGATCTCAATTATGTTTTTTTTTTTAATTGTAGTATTTTGACAATTAGAATGCTATCTACAGAAGAATTGAATTTTGACTCTTGAATTTCGGAGTTGATGATGATATTTTACATTTTCTAGATAAAATTATTCTGTTTGCATCCTGCAAAACAAGTAATGATGGAAAATAAATTGGAGGTTCATAAGGATAAGACATTAAAGGAAGCAGTAGAAATGGCTTATAAGGTATGTGTAATTGCATCATTGACATTTACTAATATAACAATATTAACGTAATTTCCCAAGTTTTTATTATGGATAATGGTTATATAAGCACTTGCAGTAACCTTGGTAACCAGTTAATTTATCTCTTACTGAGTATATTTATATCTCTCCTTTGGAGCATATTCAGTTGATTTTGAAAATTTTCTCCCTTTGGAAGCCATTTAAACTTTCTAGGTCCCAGAATTAGAAACAAAATTTTATTTGCTCTTTCTATTCATTTAACATACATTTCTTGAGTGTTTACTGTATGAAACAGAGATACCAGAGTAAGACAACGTGAGGTGTTAGAGATACCAAAGGGAACAAGACACGGTCACTGCCCTTATGGAGGTTACAATCTATTGTAAAGAACAAACATATGTAAACATCACAATTTGCAATTATTTTGTTATTTAGATGCTATAAATACAATAGTAGTAAATTGAGAAAATTTATTTTGAGACTGTAATCGTGAGACAAGGAGATAGCTATGCAAAAAGCTGAGGAAGAATATACTGGTCTATAGTCAGATGCATTATCCATTCTGTCACTGGCCCATGCCCAAGGAAGAATATTCTAAGTAGAGTGAACAGTATGTTCAAAAATGCTGAGCTGGCCGGGCACGGTGGCTCAAGCCTGTAATCCCAGCACTTTGGGAGGCCGAGGCGAGTGGATCACGAGGTCAAGAGATCGAGACCATCCCGGTCAACATGGTGAAACCCCGTCTCTACTAAAAATACTAAAAATTAGCTGGGCATGGTGGTGTGTGCCTGTAATCCCAGCTACTCAGGAGGCTGAGGCAGGAGAATTTCCTGAACCCAGGAGGCGGAGGTTGCGGTGAGCCGAGATCGTGCCATTGCACTCCAGCCTGGGCAACAAGAGCGAAACTCCGTCTCAGAAAAAAAAATTGCTGAGCTGAGGAGATGCTTGGCACATTTAAGAAACCGAAGAAAGGAGTCATATGTTGAGATTGTTTTGAATGAGCACAGAGTACCATAAAAGGAAATTAGAGATTTTTGTGAAATGGAAGTTTGCATTTTGTTCTCTAAGAGTAGTGGGAAGTTACTAATGAGGTTTGAAAGGCAAATAGGGACATGTTCTTTCACCAGATCATTCTGTCATTTATGATACTTAAGTATCATAAATGATACTAAGTTTATCATTGAAGTTTTTCCCTTTCCATATAAGCATGAACAGAATTTGACTGAAATTAGTCATTACCTAGAGGAAAAATTGCATACTGTATCATTTTGTGTATAATTATACATGGAACTGATAAAAGAACTCAACACATAAGATAACTGACATTGTTTCTCAAAGTGTGATGTAGCACAATTTGCACCAAAGTCACAATCTTATTAAAAATGCTAATTGCTGCTTATGAATCAGAGTTTCTCTGTTGGAGCCCGGGAATAGGCTTTGTAACACATATGTCAGGTGATTCTCAGGCATAATCAAGTTTGAGAATCATTTGTATTATACATCTGGTCCTACATAGCACTTACCATTATTGAAATTTTACATTTAATGTTTGGCTATTTTAATATCACTGTCCCTCACTAGACTATAAACACAAATACAGAAACCATTTTGGTTTTGCTCACAATTTTATTTTCAATACTCTTACCTAGTATATAGAAAAGTCAAAATTGGTTAGCTATGTGAATGGATAAATGAATGAACAAACATTAAAATGGATAGATGGCTCTGGATTTGCCTCATTTTGGTAAAAATTCTTTAAATATAACGGTGGACTGCAAGCATTAGTCTTAGGAAGTAAAAGTTTGCAAATAAAAAGAACCAAACAGAAGAGAGAAATAAGTCAATCTTTTATACCAAAAATAGAGCTTCATTGCTGGGGATGGGAGTTGGGAAGGAGTAGAGATCAGTGGGGATACACTGAGGCTTACAAGTCTTTAAATTTTAATCACAACCTTAAATGAACATTGAATACTTCTAAGCAATCCTACTATGTTCCTCCAGGAGGCTTATTTCCTATCAAGAGAGTTGTTGCAACCAGGGTATGTCATCTGTTAGTGACATAAGCTAGAAGGAAATTTTAAGATAGAAATTCCTATACCATGAGCTGTTAAGTATTCTGGAGGCTAATATTGAAAGGGGATATCTAGAGAGGAATGAGGTGACACCTGAGAGACATAGAAGCCATACCCTTCGTGATGGCTTTATGAGACATGCTGTCCTCCTGTACTTAGAATGTTACTAGATACATGAATTACCAAATCTACTCCCCATTGGATTAAGAAAACAAAAAATGCATATTCTAGTTGGCTGTTTGGTTGTTTTCCACTATGTTTCCAGCTTAGTTGATTACAAGCAGTAGGTTATAATACATTGATTTTGTTTCTACATCTCAAATTTATGGTGTTAGCTTTTTAAAAAATAAAAATATCTTTAAATTAGTACATGCTTTATATGATCTGAGGGATAATGAAACATAATTATGTAAAATAACATTTACATTGTACCTGTAACTTTGATGTCTTTGATGCAATCATAAATGTGTGGATTTTATTTGTTAGGGCCTATTGGTAGTGTTAATTATATACAGACTAAAACACTATATATGTATTTATATATGTATTTTTTTTTTCCTTCTGGGGGATTGCTTTCTTTTAGATGATGGATTTAGAAGAGGTAATACCCCTGGATTGCTGTCGCCTTGTTAAATACGATGAGTTTCATGATTATCTGGAACGATCATATGAAGGAGAAGAAGACACACCAATGGGACTTCTACTAGGTGGTGTCAAGTCAACATACATGTTTGATCTGCTGTTGGAGACGAGAAAGCCTGATCAGGTTTTCCAGTCTTACAAACCTGGAGGTATCTGAAAACTCCAATTTTATACTATTTTGAGATGTACTGTATTTAAAATTTTCATGAGAGGTTTTTTTATTATAGAAATGAACATAATTTAAATTTTTTATATGGTATTAAAATGTAGAATAATTTTTACAGGTTGAGAAGTACTCAGCAACAGCTTGGAATTAAGTTCTAGATTACTTGCAAATAATTTTATACGTAATTTTAAAAACAACAATGAAAAGCAACAAAACTTCTAGCTTACAGTCTTCAGTGTGATTTTTCTCCAGTATGCAGTACTGAATCATTTTGGATGCAAAAAAGTTATCAGCTGCTCTCTTAGGAAGATCCGTGTTTCTCTTTCTTTCTTTCTCTTTATGGAGCTCTTGGTCCAAAAAAGTGTATTTTCGTAAAGTCTCAAGAGGTAGAAGCTGTTTAGAATTTCTTTGAAAGGGTGGATTTATTATCACTGTCAGCATTTAAAGTTTTTCTTTATCCTCTCTACTTTTACAGGTCTCAGGGACTTCAGCTTTTCTTTCTTCATTAAATATATCACATTCACTCAGCACGTTGAGTTTTTTGTTGTTTTTTTTTTTTCTTTGAGACTGCTTAGGAAAACCAAAACATCATGCCCCTAGTTTTTCCAGAGACAGTTTTGTAGGGGCTCAGTCAGGGTGGTGGGAAAAATTGTAAAATAGACACAAACCTTCTAGGAAGGCGGGAAGGTTTCTTCAAAAGCCTCGGGAAGGAATGAGCTGAAGGCAGCAGTTCTTACCCATGGGCAGTTAGGCAGAAGTAGGTCCAAAGGAATGTGGGGTTTATCTAAGGAGCTTGTTTACGCATGTGATCCTAAGATCTACCGTTCAACACCCTCAGGCGCATGACTGGTCTCTACTCTAGGGGTCAACAATGTTATTACCCACAAATGGTGTTTGCTTTAGGCCTTGGAACCTGGCCTTCAATCATTATCCACAAGTGTGTTGACTCAAAGCCTCTGTCATTAAATCTATACTGTATAAATGCCTGGAGTGCCAGCTAGTCAGGGCTGCAGCTGCTGACTCTTCATAGCACCTTCCTCAACCTCTGTAAGCTGTCTGGACCCTCAACCCAATCTTTCACTAGATACCTGTATCTTAGTGCATTTGTTCATCTGTCACTGGGTCAGGGTCTGCTGCTCAGACCCAGCACAGTTTTCTTAAAGACAGTTACATGGTCTGTTTTGTGTCCAGAGTTTTCTGTAATTACCATATGCAAATTATAACAAATAGGAGGAAAGCAAAATGTTTAAATAATTTTACAAAATTCTTACTGTTGTGCTTGACCCTAACTCCTTTGCATCACTGGTTAGAATTCAGACTTAAGTCCTCTGTGTTGTTTTTCTAAATGTTGAACTTACAAAACCTTATTCTGCCCTTTTACAATGATATTCCTTTATGGATCCTGTATATCTCCTTTTTAAATGAAGGCATCTCTTTACAGACTAGTTAAGATGAAATATTCTTTCAAGGAGCCTACATCTCTTAAGTGGGAAAATTTCATTTCTGAAAACCTTATGGTGCCTGCTTCAGTTAAGACTCTACCTTACCTATAAAAAGTCCCTTAAGGACATTTTCTTGCTTTTTTTTTTTTTTTTTTTTTTTGAGCTAGACAGGAAATAGAATGATTAGGGTGTAACATGAGTCAGCAGTAATACCACTTATTTGAAAGAGAACTCTAAATGGGAGTGCAGATTGTAAGACTTGTAAAGTAGTCTTTATTCATTAATAATCTAGATCTTAGCAGAGTATTTTGTTAGATTTAGATAACAACATGGGAAAAAAAAATAAGGATTGACATAAAACATGAATTTAAAACAGATACATAGTAACTACATGTTAAATATAGTGTTTGAAGATTAAGAATTTAGTTATCTAAGCATAACCTGAAAACAGAAGAGAAGAAAATGGGATTCAGTTTTAATAAAAGGATTTAAGTGAGGAAACAGATACATAATCACAACAGTTTTTGTGTGGAATTTTCCTTGGGATATAGAAAATATTATTTTGAGAATAGGAAGTTTTTGATGATGAACAAGGTTTTGAGTGGCTTAATGAGGCATTTACTCAAAAGCAAGTGTGAGAGTTGTGTGGCCTTTAATACTTGTTTTGCAGTATTTGGTGATTTATATTTATTCAATGTTGTTTTGGTCTGTACTTGGAAGTTTGGATTTGTCATCTATTTGAAACACATTAATAATGCATCACTTATGTGAAATACATTAAAAAATAACCTTCAATTATGTGTTTATATCTGCAAATGTGACAGAAGTGATGGTGAAAGTTCACGTTGTTGATCTAAAAGCAGAATCTGTAGCTGCTCCAATAACTGTTCGTGCTTACTTAAATCAGACGGTTACAGAGTTCAAACAACTGATTTCAAAGGTAAGTTTTAAAAGGGGTTAGTAAATATATTTTTGAGTGCCTGTTACATACAAGACACTGTGTAATAGTTGTGAATAAGATACAGGCTCTACCTCCAGGAGCTAATATTTGTAGTTAGGAGACATCTGTGGTTAAAAGAAACATTGAACAGGAAGTAAGAAAATGTGGGGCAAGTACATACTAACAACTTGTATGTGTTGGCTGGATTATCGTAAAATACAGAATTGGAAATATTAGTACAGTTTATTTAGTGAAGAGCTTTAAACAGTAAACATGAAAGTTTGGGCTCCTTTTTGGTGTAGGCAATAAGAAGTCGTTTTTTTGTTGGTGGTGGTGTTTTTAAGTGCAGCAATGCAGCACTTAGTGTCTGGTGACACTAGACTAGTGTTCCACATGCCTTGAGAGAGAGTCAGGAATGGAGAGGAGGAAGCTGTTGAAATAATTCAAGTGCAGGTATATGACGGGAAATGAGAGAACACAAGATTCCAAGAGGGATAGAATCTGCAGGACTTGTAATTATTAAATGTTGGGGTAAAGCAGATGCACCCGTGACCTAAGCCAGAGGTTTCAAACTTGGGTAACCAGAAAAGTAGGATTGCATTAATAGAAAAAAGGAGGAAGGTGAGCATGTAGATGACAGGGAACGTGATGAATTAAATACTGGCGCCATTATATGAGCTAATGATAAAGAACATAGGCTCATTCAGATTCCTTGAGCTGGAAAAATACAACAATGAAAACATTCAAGTTTGGGCTGGGGGGTCAAAAGGATTAGTCCATACCAGACAAACTGATTATCATCCTTTCAAGGGTCGTGTACGCCTCAGAACCTTGAACATACAAACAGGCAAAATTTTTCAGGGTTCTCAAACCACAGGTTAAGATCCCCTCGTGTAGTGGAAATTGTTCCATAATTGCAAATCGAGTTCAGGTTTCAGTCATTCATCCTATGGTAGTTTTGTCTTTCATCTCATTAGCTGGGGTTTTAAATACCTGTTTAACAGGGTTGTAGTGAGCATTAATGAAAAATAAATAAATGCTCTGTGGAAAAAAATTGTAAGATGTTACGTAAGAGTTGGTGGTTATTATTATGCTGTTTAAAAAAGTCTGTATTTTGACTTATATTTACATGACTTCTAACAATTTTGCTAAATTAATAACCAGGAAACAAATCATTTTTGTGAAATTATATTTTATGATTAAATTGCTTATAAATGCATACTATGTTGGTATGATACACTGTGTATTACATTTTTGAAATTTGAATGCTAAATGTAGAAAAAGTCAGTTTAGTGAGCACTGAGGCATAATACAAAAGAAAGAGACACAATAGTTTCTTCCCCAAGAAGTTAATAATCTTGAGAAAAACATGTCTAAGGCCGAGCATGGTGGCTCATGCCTGTAATACCAGCAGGTTGGAAGGCCGAGGTGGGCGGGTCATTTGAGGTCAGGAGTTCGAGAGCAGCCTGGCCAACACAGTGAAACCCCATCTCTACTAAAAATACAAAAATTAGCCGGGCGTGGTGGCCCATGCCTGTAGTCCCAGCTCCTGGAGGCTGAAGCAGGATAACTGCTTGAACCCAGGAAGTGGAGGTTGCAGTGAGCCGAGGCTGTGCTACCACAGTCTTGCCTGGGCAATAGAGCAAGACTGAATCTCAAAAAAAAAAAAAAAAAGCAAAGAAAGACAGCGGAGGTTGCAGTGAGCCGAGAAAATTATGTCTATAGAGAATAAAGGCAGTCACAAAACATCATGTAAACAAATACAGTGTTTTAAAGTATAATCAGACTGCTTAAGAATTAGGTATTTATAACTAATAACCTAAGTCGTATTGAAAATAAATTATGTTCTTTAAAATGGAGGTAATTTTTACCTGCTTTCATGTGAGATTTATGAAATGACTCCAAAAATTAAAGATGTGGACTTAGAGAGTAACTTAAAATTTTACCTACTAATCTTCTCATTTCACGCAAAGGAAAATTGCTTATTGCTTTAATAAAAGTATAACAGCCATTCACAGAGTATAGAAGGGCCTGTCAAAAGCCAAGAAGTTTAACATTTAAATATCACTGTCAAAAAGTCAAGTTATTCAGTTTCTTTGGAATCAGATCACTCATTTACTTGGCAAATTTGAGAGGAATAGAGTTTCTAGGACAAAATCCTTACCTTTAAAATAGTTTCAGAGCATACATTTATAAGTGGTATTTTGTTCTCCTGATTTGCAGCATGATTTCTGGCTATAACTAATTTTTCCCTTTCATTATTCAAAAATTTTAAAACCTCTACTAAAATTATTTTTCTCTCTGCTGCTTTTAAGAAGAATTCAGCAGTGTCTTGCTTTCTAAGTCAAGCAGAATTATTTTTGAAAGAGTACTTTTTATTAAATTGCTTTTATTATAGGCCATCCATTTACCTGCTGAAACAATGAGAATTGTGCTGGAACGCTGCTATAATGATTTGCGTCTTCTCGGTGTCCCCAGTAAAACCCTGAAAGCTGAAGGATTTTTTAGAAGTAACAAGGTATGTCACTTATTTTTTTATCACTATTTTCTATGCTGGTAATAGTAAATAAAATTAGTTCAGTATTATAAGCCTGGCCTCCACAGCTTTTCAACATCTGTCTGAAACTTAACTTAAAATTTCAGGTTTTCCTAATAATTACCTTCCTTTGTAGTCATGTCAGATCAGGCTCCTTTGTGTCCTGTCAATCAGTCTTACCAGTTCTCTTCTTTGCCTTTGTTCATGTACACTCCCACCTAGAGTGTTCCTCCTCTCCCTGCATTTTTTTTTTTTCAATCTCTAGATTAGTCCTACCTCTTTGGTGAAACCTTCATAACCATTTCTACCCACAGTGATTATGTCCCCTTTTTTTGTTGTTGTTCACTTCATGTTGAGGGTCAGAGGCATACCTGGTATAGGAAAAATTACCATCTTGAGTTTACTCACCATTATTCCCTTTGCCTACTCATTTTTCTCTATTGGAAAGGAGAAAGTTCGTGTTAATCCTCTTCTTTTATCTTGATATTATTATGTGTTTCATCATTTATCATTTTTCATGTGTCTATCACTTTTTCTAGTCTCATTTATCTTAGTACAGTCTAGTCTTTTATCTCATTTAACTTTTTTAGTATTATTATATTAAGCCCAATATGTAATTTTTATTCACCTATGCTTCTAAAACTTTTGTGTTGTGGGAGAGGGGGTGTATGTGTATATGTAAAACATCAAAATCTCTAATCCCCTCCAATACTACTTTAGGGTAATAAGTACAGGAAGGATCTAACTTTTTTTTGCCTTAAGTGGTTAGCCTACTGGTTTCAGTTTGTAACATTTACTGAATAGGATAATGATAGTGTTATCCTTTTATGCAAAAGCCAACATGCTATTTATTATCCCCAAATTTGTGCCAAAAATGAATTTCATATTTTAAAAAAGATGTATTATGGAAAATTTCAAACATAAAAGTAGAGAGAATAGGGAAAATAGAGTGACCCCCCCCCCCACCACCACATTCCCATCACTCAGCTTCTACAGTTACTGTCTCTTGTTTTATCTATATTTTAACCACCTGCTTCCCCCAGATTATTTGATAAACTTCTCAGGATCATATCATTTCATCTATAGATAATAGGAATATATATCTCTAAAAGAAGAGAACTCTTTAAAAAAATGAAATTTACATTATGTACCTAAAAAATACCTTAATAGCAGTTAGTATCTTAGTCAGTGTTCAGATTTCTCTGATTATCTTAGAAAATTTTTTTCTGTAAATTTTCCTGTGTCTTTTTCATTTGCTTTCTTGCAGTTTATTTGTTACAAAACCAGGTTATTTGCCCATTAAATTTTTCCGTAATCTGGATTTTGGTGTTACATTAACAAAGTGTCTTTACACATGTTCCTATGTCATAATTCAGGCTAAAAACTTGGTTTTTCTAAAGGTGAAAGATTTATACAATCTAAAGAAAAACCAGATTATTAATTTCCTAAAGAGAAGGATGATACAACAACTTTCTGAAATTGGACATCCCAGTAAACACGGTGTTTGTGTATATGTGTATGTCCATGTCCTCTATCTTTGTGTAGCTTTATGGCTAGTTACAAAGACATTTGAGCCTAATACTTATTTTATTCAGTCTCCAAAACAGTACAGTGTCCTTCAAAAACTTTATCATCACATTTTATAACATAACTGTGTATTGTCTTGTATTGATGCAATATGATGATGATGATGAATGAGAATGTCACTGAAATTAATATATAATAAAACTCTGACTTACTATGTAGGTGTTTGTTGAAAGTTCCGAGACTTTGGATTACCAGATGGCCTTTGCAGACTCTCACTTATGGAAACTCCTGGATCGGCATGCAAATACAATCAGATTATTTGTTTTGCTGCCTGAACAATCCCCAGGATCTTATTCCAAAAGGACAGCATACCAGAAAGCTGGAGGTGATTCTGGTAATGTGGATGATGATTGTGAAAGAGTCAAAGGACCTGTAGGAAGCCTAAAGTCTGTGGAAGCTATTCTAGAAGAAAGCACTGAAAAACTCAAAAGCTTGTCACTGCAGCAACAGCAGGATGGAGATAATGGGGACAGCAGTAAAAGTACTGAGACAAGTGACTTTGAAAACATTGAATCACCTCTCAATGAGAGGGACTCTTCAGCATCAGTGGATAACAGAGAACTTGAACAGCATATTCAGACTTCTGATCCAGAAAATTTTCAGTCTGAGGAACGATCAGACTCAGATGTGAATAATGACAGGAGTACAAGTTCAGTGGACAGTGATATTCTTAGCTCCAGTCATAGCAGTGATACTTTGTGCAATGCAGACAATGCTCAGATCCCTTTGGCTAATGGACTTGACTCTCACAGTATCACAAGTAGTAGAAGAACTAAAGCAAATGAAGGGAAAAAAGAGACATGGGATACGGCAGAAGAAGACTCTGGAACTGATAGTGAATATGATGAGAGTGGCAAGAGTAGGGGAGAAATGCAGTACATGTATTTCAAAGCAGAACCCTATGCTGCAGATGAAGGTTCTGGGGAAGGACATAAATGTATGTACTTCAAAAGAAAAAAGGTCCTTTAAACAGCGTCAGTTTTTCTGTCAGTTTATTTAAATTTTCAGTTAAGTGTTAGGTACTTATTTCTAAGATCATCTGTAACTTTCTGGATTATAAGATTATTCTCTATTGACTTTCGTTTTTGATGCAGTTATAATGAACACTGTTCTTAGACCTGTGCAATAAATTAGATGTTAATTATGTCAGAACTCTGACATAAGAAGTAAAAAAATAATATTCAATATTAGGAAAGAATTACACAGTTACTAAGTAAAAAATTCAGGAATATATTAAAAAGTAAGTAATATGTTTTTAAAAAGCTCAGACTCTTAGAAAATTTGATATTCAATGCCCAGAAACTTTTTATTTCTACATGCTCTTGTCTCCATTTTCCAATGCAAACAATTCCCTTGCTGCACCCCCTTAAAAGTTCATAATTAACTGGGAAAGTCAGAGTAAGAAAAAGCGCTCTTAAAATTTTTTTCTGTTACTTTGAAGTAACTCCAAAGCAAGGAGTTACTAGAAATTCCAATCCATAATCTCAGAAAAATGGAAGAGATCTGAGAGTTCGGGCATTTGGCATAAGTAGTAACACCAAAAACATTCCAGCATTATATGAGACTTAAAAGAACCTTTATAGACCCTTAGACGGCCAGCCAAATAATTAGCAAGACAACCAGATTTAAGATACAAAATCTTTCTTCAATTATAAAAGAGAAGTAGCTGAAAAAGTAAATACTTTGCATTAGTTCTAACAAAGCAAATATTAATACTACTCTTTATATTTTTATATTTTAGTTTTCAGAATGCTTATGTGTTCCTAAAGCTTCTCCAAACTTCATAAAGCAAACATTAGTATCCTTATTTGACAGATAAGAAAACCAAAGCTCATAGAGGATGAATGACTTGCCCAAAAGTGGATGTGTAGCTAGTAAGTGGGGCCATTACTAGAACTGAAGGCATCTAATTGTTCCTTTTACCTTTGGAAAAGAGCCCCACTCTTTGTTCATCCATTCATCCATCCATCCAAGTAATATTTTCTAAATCCCTCAGGCCCTGTGTAGCTGTTAGAAGTAGAGACGACTGAGATGCAGCCTTTTGTTTCATCTCAGGAGGAGGAGGTGCACAGTCACCCACTCTAAAAGTTAAGTGCTGTGATGCTTATAGTCTCAAAATTCTATCTGCTAAAAGGAAGTCATAGAAATTATGAAATAATACAAGTATTTAAATTTGTGTTTTTAACTAGTTGGGTTAAATAACACTGAAATCATATGACATTCATACATATATCTTGCAGAAACTCAAGTGTGAAAATGAGGATTGGCTGGACAAAATGGAGAAAGGAAAATCGTATTACAATAATGCTTTAAATTTCTATGGAGCATTTACCTCATAAGACTCATTAGCTTACATTGGATCAGTATGCAAATACAATCTTAATTCTCTTAACAGCTGTGTGAAACTGATACTATTAGACTGTTTTCATTGATGAAGAAACTAGTCGAACAGATTAGGTAATTTGCCTGTGGTCACACAGCTCACGCTGCTAGGATGAGACTCAGATATTAGGAGCCACCACCCCATAGCTGCCGCCACTGTTTTTTCCTTGCATGTTAGTAAAGGAAAAGTAGTAGTAACTAGTCTGCTTTTTTACCATACTCAACCCGTCGAGGGCATTAGAAAAATTAAAAGTAGTTCCACCTTAGTAAAAAGTTGGAAATTTCTTTTAGGTGGTCTGTTTTAGGATGATGTGCTAGAAATTTGACTGGATGATAGTCTGAACCTTAGGAAGAATTCAGTGGGAATACTTAGAATTGTAGTTTGAAAAGTCTCAATTCCATCTTAGAACAGTTAATAAAATCTTTAAAAAGGAGATTGTTGGCCATTTTAATATATTTGAAAATTTGTACTAGGCTTATTTACTTCATTGAAGGAGTAAATGAAATACTATTTTCATTGAAATAGTAAACATGGTGAAGAAGAGAAACCATTCACTCTAACTTATGTATTTGGGCCTTTAGAAGCCCCAGAAAAAAGCCAGTTTGAAAAGAAAATGTGACTCTGGAAAATGCCTTCTCATTTGTAAAAAACTGCTTTGGAGATAGGGAAGTACGGATAGCAGCCAGCAGCCAGGTTTTTCTTGAGTGTACTAAGACTGATTCATTGCAGCTCCTCAGTCATCTGAAAGTACATCCCTGGGAAAACGTGGATGATGAGTAATAATATACTTTCTTCAGAGTGATAAAATGGCTTGAAAGAAAGAACAGGTAGACAATGAATTTGATATTTGAAGAATGATGCATTATGCACAGTATAGGCACTTCACTCAGGCAGTAATCAAACTGTCCTTAAAATGATGGTCCTTGAGATAGCAGTTATTATCCAAGAGTTGTTTCAGAGAATAATTACAGATCATTCTCTGAGAACCCTGTCCTTTTAGGACCTCGTTATAGTTATTGGCTTGGCACTTGGGTATAAACAGGAAAGCCAAGGTTAAATAAAGATGGTAGCGCATTTGCACTGAAATTTCTCCGTACAATTTTGGTTACCATCTCACTTAAGAAATACCTAAGGGCCAGTTACAGTGGCTCACACCTGTAATTCCTGCACTTTGGGAGGCCAAGGTGGGAGGACTGCTTGAGCCCAGGAGTTAAGAGACCAGCCTGAGCAACATAGTAAGGCCCCATTTCTACAAAAAAATTTTGTTTAATTAGCCCGTAGTCACATGCCCGTAGTTCCAGGTACTTAGGAGGCTGAGGTGGAAGGATCACTTGAGCCTAGAGGGGAGAGGCTGCAGTGAGCTATGATCATTTGCCTGCACTCCAGCCTGGCCGAGAGTGAGGCCCTGTCTCATTAAAAAAAAAAAAAAAAAAAGAAGAAAGGAAAAAGAATAAAAGAAGAAATACATAAGAGAAAGGACAGAAAAAGGAAAATCATAAATATATTTTAAGATTGTTCTGTGAAGACATGACTCTTCAGTCTGAAGAGATAGGAAAAATGATACAATGGTAATCTCTATAAAGTAATTACAGCCAATAAATTAACACTCTTTACTAAAGCTATCCTAAACATTTTACATGTATTGACCTCAGAAAACAACTTTGAGGTTTATAAATACTGTTATCTCCATTTTATAGCAAAGGTAATTGAAGTACAGAGAAGTTAAGAAGTCAGAGTCACACATCTGATTATATGAAGAGGAGCCAGGAATTCATTCAGTACAGGCCATCAAATTCTAGAATCAGTCGATTGTAATCACCACATTAAACTATATCAATAACAAACAAACGTTTTTGTCTTCCTGTGAAATGACAACTACTAGAGGTTAGGAAAGAAACCAAAATATCCATAAAAGCTTGCATTTGAGTAATGCTTTAGAAAAGACTTTTACTACATTTGTCACAACAGTGTTATATGTTATGATCATATGGCAAAACTGAGGCTGAGGGAGATTGGATAACCTGCCTGCAGCCATTTATCAGAGTAAAGTGACAAAACTGAAACCTAGCCATAGGCTTTCAAATTCTAATCAAGTAATTTTTGGATGACACTGTTCTGTTAAGAAATTTAGTACCTTTATCGGATAGCATAGACAGAAGCTTGTTTGCCATAAGCTGGATTATTGACATAGAAGGGCACTCCTTATAGATTAAAAAGTGACATTTTAAACAAATTAATAGAAATACTGCCTCAAAACTCAAAAGGTAGATAATAAAGTTCATCATCCTCTTCATATTTTCTTCTAATTTGTACTTGTCACATTTTCTATTGATGAACCTATATTTTATAGCCAGGAAAGCAGTGAACATTATTTTATTTGAAAAAATCCTCTGAGAAAAATTCAACCTAAGCGTTGATATGACATGGAAATGTAAACCAGGAGTGTTTTAGGGTCTCATCCTTTACCTTCCAAGTAGCTTTCACAGAAAAACAAGCCCTAACATGGAGGGAGCCCTAGAGCCAGGGAGGTCCAGCAGCCTGAGGCAGCATGGCAGCACTGCCTTATTAGTAGAGTGTCTGGTTTCTGCTTTTTACTGCAATATGAAGACCACAGTAGAAGCATTCCAGATGTGTCCTCATGAGTGGCTTATAAAATTAGGGACAAAAGATTAAATTAATAAGCATTAGAGAAAAATGAAGCTCATCAGAGATAATCCTATTACAGAACAAGAGAGCTTAAATTTAAGCCTGAAAGAGGTGAGAGTTTCTGATCCATTTAAATACAGTTCTTGTTACAGCCCAACCATATGATAAATCAGACATCTTAGTATGCTAATCGTGACATTTTTTCTAGTGAAAATCTGAAAATTAGATAATATTACTAACAATTTTTGAGGCAGTTACTTTGTATTGGCACTGCGCCAAAAGCATGATAAATGAATTACCTCACTGAATTCACATTGCATCACTCAGGTGGGCACTATTATCATCTCCATTTTTCTGGTAAAGAAAATGGAGGTACAAAGGCTGGTGACTGGTGCCGTGTCCCATATAGTAAGTAAGCAGAGGAGGTGGGATTGGAACCACTAGAGTTTACACTATTACTGTGTAGAGCTAGAAATGTATATATTTTAAAAGAATTCCTAGAAGCTTGTTTTTGAGTTTGACAACCTAAACAAGCACTTAAATAGCTCAGAACAATTTAAGCTGTCAGATAATACTTATCAGAGACTCTGTGTCCATGTGTTTTCTCCGTTCAGTGTGATATATTAGCTAAAGTAACTGAAAAAGGGCACTTTTTCCTGCAACACTGTAATAAAAAGTATATGATCTGTTTTATTTATACGCAGAGGTTTCTTTTACATTTTTGTTCCTGCTTTGTTTTTTTCCTTTGTGCCTGTGTGCTTAGGGTTGATGGTGCATGTTGATAAAAGAATTACTCTGGCAGCTTTCAAACAACACCTAGAACCCTTTGTTGGAGTTTTATCCTCTCACTTCAAGGTCTTTCGAGTGTATGCCAGCAATCAAGAGTTTGAGAGCGTCCGGCTGAATGAGACACTTTCATCATTTTCTGATGACAATAAGGTTGATTAAAATAATCTTCAAGTAGTTAGAGTCTATTTTGAATGATAGATTTGAGAACAGCTTTTACTACTTCCAAGTAAGGTGAAGTAGATACACTAGAAGAAGCTTTTTTTTAATGTTTAATGGTAATTTGGGGGGTTTTTTGTTGTTTTTCTTCACTCATCTAACAAACATTTGTAAAATGTTAACTGTGTGTCAGTTACTGTTCTAGGTGCTGGGGATTCAGAGGTAAAAGTTACACCTGTTCTCAGAGAGCCTATAATCTAGAGAATTTTGGAAGGTTTAAAAATGGGATGAGAATGGGTTGTTTATTCTGCTGAGACAGCATATCTAAAAAAATGTTTTTAACTTATAGATTACAATTCGACTGGGGAGAGCACTTAAAAAAGGAGAATACAGAGTTAAAGTGTACCAGCTTTTGGTCAATGAACAAGAGGTAAGTAATACGCTTAAGAACAATATAAGGTTACTTTTTACAGTTACTGAAAACATACATTGTAGAGATTTTATTCCTAGTCATTTTCTTTTTCTGAAGCGGAGGTCAGCACATTTTTTCTGAGCCTTGTTGTAGTTTAGCAGGCCATACTGCCTCTGTTGCAGTTACTCACTCCTGCTGTTGTAGCACAAGGAGCCATAGACAATAATTAACCAATGAGAATAGCTGTGTCTCAACATTTTATTAACAAAAGCAGGCAGCAGTGAACTTGGCCCTCAGACCACTGTTTGTCATCCCTCTGCTCTAAAGTGTTGCTACAAATGCTGAAATGAGACAGCATTTTCCTGCTTTTAAAAAGAATTTTGTGTGTGTTTGTGTGTGCTTGCTTTCTGGAAATTATCATGTAATCCTACAGGTAAGTAACAGTTGAAAGTCATTTTATTACGTAACAAGCATTTATATAGTATCTACTGTGTGCTTTAAGTGCTTGCAAATATTAACTCATTTAATCCTCATCAAATAACTATGATACAAGCATTATTTCTTATTCCCATTCTATAGATAAAGAAACTGAGGCACAAAGAAGTTAAGTATCTTGGTCAAAGTCACAATGCTTGTAAATGGTGTGAGTTAATGATATAAACAGGCTGTGTTTTTAAAGGAATCATCAGTGAACCATTTTAGTCCCTGTGGTATACTAGCCTTACCACAAACACCAGAAAGAAAAAGGCAAAGATTATATTTTTCAGAATGTTAAAGCATCCTTCTGTTATAACATTGTTAGAGAACTAGACAAATATGAAAACCATAAATTTACCATAAATTTTATCTCACACGTGTTACTTCTCTTAATGTGACCCATTGCAGTCATTTTAACTTACATATTTCATCTGAGTTTGTGGAAACTATGTATCTTTTAAGATAATTGTTTAATATATTTGGAGAATTAGTATGCATTTCCCTCATTTTAGTCCATAAAAGTAGTTCTTTTTGCTTTGAAAATTGTAACTATTAGAAGAAGGGAATGTGTTATCTTATTTGATCTTTACAATGACTCAGTGAAGAAAATGATGTTCCCAGTTTACAGAACTGAGACACAGAGATTTTAAGTAAACTTGGATCAAGATAGCTGAGCCCATAAATAGTGGACCTAAGGTTTCAAAACAGGAAGATAGGCCAGGCATGGTGGCTCACACCTGTAATCCCAACACTTTGGGAAGCCAAGGTGAGTGGATCACCTGAGGTCAATATGACGAAACCCCATCTCTACTAAAAATACAAAAAAATTGGCCGAGTGTGCTGGTGGGCACCTGTAATCCCAGCTACTTGGGAGGCTGAGGCTGGAGAATTGCTTGAACCCAGGAGGCAGAGGTTGCAGTGAGCAGTGAGCTGAGTTCCTGCCATTGCATTCCAGCCTGGGTGACAGAGTGAGACAAAAGAAAATGAAAAACAGGAAGATAGACTCTGAAACTCAGGCCTTTAGTTGCAAATAAAATGTTTTTATAATTTTTATTTTAATGTATTTAATTAACATGTAATTCAAGCTCTGATAGTTTATGTTTACATTTCTAGCCATGCAAGTTTCTGCTAGATGCTGTGTTTGCTAAAGGAATGACTGTCCGGCAATCAAAAGAGGAATTAATTCCTCAGCTCAGGGAGCAGTGTGGTTTAGAGCTCAGTATTGACAGGTAAAGTAAAATTCATGTCATCAGCAATTTAAAGAAAGACTGTGTGGTCAGTTAAAATGGACTGGTATGATTTTCTAAAACGAGGAGAATTAAAATTTCCTGTACTATTCAGAATTTTAGTACAACAGATTAGTTTAATAGGACTAAGCAAGAGTATTACAATTTTGTTTGGATTTCCTACAGAGGATTCTAAGTTTGAATTACTGGGAGCATTTTTTTATTTCCCCAAATTTTAACAACTCATTATTTGACTTTTGTATTTGAACATAGTTCATTTTTCTTTGGTGTTAGATTAGTGTCAGTCTTTAAATTGAGAGTTTCAAATTATAGTTGTTTTAAATGTCTTATCACATTTGTAGGTTTCGTCTAAGGAAAAAAACATGGAAGAATCCTGGCACTGTCTTTTTGGATTATCATATTTATGAAGAAGATATTAATATTTCCAGCAACTGGGAGGTTTTCCTTGAAGTTCTTGATGGTATTTTTAATATTTTGGAGGGGGTGGGGGGAAGCATCAGTTAGAAATACTTGAGAACTCATAGAAGCTTAAAGTTTTTAATCAAAATAATGAGTTACAAGGAATCTAATATACAATACAGTGTTTTGTATTGTTAAGCATAAAGATATCCTTAGTGTGGATTGATGTGATTCCTACTTACGTCTTATCCCTGGGAGTTTTATTTTCTTCCCTTGTCTTCATGTAAATGCTTAAGTTATTTTTGAGAGAATAATCGGTGTCTTTCAGCTTTCTCCTGTCTTTCTCTGGCTCCCATTTGCCTTTTAAATGTTCTTTTTTTGAATGTTGAGAATATTAATTTCCCCTTAGAAGGAAATTACAAAGTTAGGTCTGTAATACATTTTAAGAAAACTCTGCTAATATTTTCTTAGCCATGTTTGTTATTTAGTTTCTTTATTATTATTATTATTGTGGTGGCTTATTTTGTATTGAGGACATGGTACTGATAATTTATCAGAGACTTTGTTTCCTAAGGCAGGTGGCTTGAACAATAGATTTGTATTGTCTCACAATCTGAGAGCAAGGTATCAACAGAGTTGGTTCCTTCTGAGTGCTGTTGGGGAGAATCTGTTCCATACTCTCTCCTACCTTCTGTGGTTTTGGGCCATCATTGGCAACCTTGGCTTGTAGATGCATCACCCCAGTCTCTGCCTTCATCTTCATATGATGTTCTTTCTGTGGGCTTGTCTGTTTGTATTATTTTTCCTTTTTTCATAAACTACTAGTTCTATTGGATTAGGGCCCACCCTAAAGACCTTATTTTACCTTGAGTACCACTGTAAAGATGCTTTTTCCAAATAAAGTCACATTCTGAGGTACTAGGGATTAGGATTTCAACATGTCTTTTTTGTGGGGGGGGCACAATTCAACCCCTAACAGTGACCTTGAGGAGGTCTAAGTAGCAGACCTATTTGTCACGCCTCCCAGTTTTCCTTGTCAACATGGGTACCTTTAAAGTATTATTTTTTTGGAGGGAGGCTGTGGGGGAAAAGTTGGCTTTTAGAAGATCACATCAAGGTAAATAACTAGTTATATATATATATATATATATATGTATTTTGCTGTTGCTTAGAAAAATTTAAATTTTCCTTTTCGTCTATAAAAAGTAAAATATTGGCTGGACGCGGTGGCTCAAGCCTGTAATCCCAGCACTTTGGGAGGCCGAGGTGGGTGGATCACAAGGTCAAGAGATCGAGACCATCCTGGTCAACATGGTGAAACCCCGTCTCTACTAAATATAGAAAAAATTAGCTGGGCATGGTGGCGTGTGCCTGTAATCCCAGCTACTCAGGAGGCTGAGGCAGGAGAATTGCCTCAACCCAGGAGGCGGAGGTTGCGGTGAGCCGAGATCCCACCATTGCACTCCAGCCTGGGTAACAAGAGCAAAACTCTGTCTCAAAAAAAAAAAAAAAGAAAAAGTGAAATATTGTGGATATTTTGTTACAAGATTATACTAGTTTTTAGAGGGCTCAATAATACTAACACCTCGCCATTTCTGATTAATTGACAAGTTAACTTGGGAGGTAAGAAACAACTAGGACGTACATTATCTGCTATGGTGCATAGGCAAGTGCTCCAGATTGTGATTTCTTTGAGTGTCTGGGGTCTTAGGGAATAATCACTGTGTCTGAGTAAGTCAGGAAGAGACCATTAATGACAAGTCACCCTTGCAAGGATTAAGTAGTTATTAGCAGGGATGGATTCGTCTAAAAATAGTACTGGATGATGGGTGCCTGCATCAGTATTATTTCAGTATGTTTTAGCATCAAAGTAGTTGAGTAAGAAATGTCATATGATTAAATCCAAGAGATATTTATTGACTTGTAATTTGCTAGACACTGCTAACCCCTTGTGCTACAAAAATGAGTAAGAACAACTGGTTGCCCTCCAGGTGCTCACAGTCTGTGGAAGAAACAGAGCTCCAAACCTGTCATTCTAAAATAATAGGTACTAAGGGACGGAATCATTAGAAGTTGTTCATGTGTACACCAGAGAGAAAAGTGACACAATGGAAAAGTGAAAATTTTGACGAATCACTAAATTGGGGAATAAATGGAAAGAGAAGGGTTAATAATAGCTTGAGTGAAAAAAGAGGATAAAGTGAAGTTGATTTGATGATGATTTTAGATAAGGATAGTAGCCAATAGAGAAGCAAAGATTGGAAATCCAGAGAAGAGAGTAATTGTTAATGCAGTGTCCAACAGGAGTCAGGAGAGAGTGGAGTTATGAGTACTGGTTAAACGGTAGTTTGCAGAAGAGAGGAATTAACTTCTGAGACTGAAGAGAAGAGAGTAAATACTTCATTCTCAAAAACTCCTTAGGATAATTGTGTTTTTTCTTGTGCCCACTTTTGAAGAATAGCACTTGAAGTAAATCTTTTTGTTTAGTCAGGCACTAAGGGAAAAGTCAAATTATGAACCTTCAGAGAAATAGAATGATGACCTAATCTTGCATATTCTTAGGGGTAGAGAAGATGAAGTCCATGTCACAGCTTGCAGTTTTGTCAAGACGGTGGAAACCTTCAGAGATGAAGTTGGATCCCTTCCAGGAGGTTGTATTGGAAAGCAGTAGTGTTGATGAATTGCGAGAGAAGGTAAGTTCATTGTAAACAAAACATGTATCTCATGTTGTATTAGTATATCACAGTATTTATAAAATATATAACATATGAACAATATATTTTTCCTGTGTTGCATAAGAGAAAACTTAGGAAGCAGTACCAAACACTGGTGCAGCAACCTTTCTTTTTGGTTTCTGTCACACCTTGTGGCATACTCTGGTTGTTTTTTCAGGTTCCTGATTCTTTAAAAATTACTTTGGCTCCAGGCCATTCAGAAGTGGATTCTCACTCAATTTTGTCCTAAGTAGTTAGAAGTAGTTAGAAGTTAATAGAGTAAATTGCTATATGTCTTTAAAAAAAAAAATGGAGTAGAATTGTATAGAGAATCCAGATAAAGGTCTGTTTTGTATTTTAAGATGGGATATCTAAGGATCTCTGGGGAAAGGGTGAACTGGTCAATCCGTGGTACTAGCACAGTGGGCATTTTGAAAAAGATTCATTTCCATACATCACACTAAACACAAAAATAAATTTTAAATGTATTAAGTTTGTATAAAAAATAAAACAGTAAATGTACTAGGTGAAAATATGTAAAATATTAAACCCTAAAAGTATTTTCATATTCCTAGAGAAAAATATTTGTAAGCGTAATACCAAAAGCAAAAAAAAAGAAACTGTAGACCACATAAAAACCTATTCTCTGCACAGCCAAAGAAAAAGGTATTTAAAAACGAACTCATAAACAAAGCTAAAAGACAATAAACTAGGAGGAAATTATTTAAAACATTTATTAAACATGCTGTTCATAATTTATAAAGAGCTACTATCTTAAGAAAAAGATGAACAAATCTAATTTTAAGAAAGACAACATGAATAGGCTGAAACAATAACATTATTGTTCACTTCTTAAATTGCTGAAGATTTAGAAAATCAAAAAATGCCTTGAGTTGTCAAGGTTTAGGGGATACAGACAATACATACCTTTGATGAGTGTATAAATTGATATGATTTTTTTCAGATTCAGTTTATCAAGTATTTCAGATGTGCAATTAAACATCTAGGAATTCGATCTATAGACGTATTTGCAGGCCAGGTGCCGTGGCTTACTTCTGTAATCTCAGCACTTTGGGAGGTCGAGGTGGGCAGATCACTTGAGGTCAGGAGTTTGAGACCAGCCTGGCCAACATGGTGAAACCCCATCTCTACTAAAAATACAAAAATTAGCCAGGTGTCATGGTGCATGCCTGTAATTTTAGCTACTCGAAAAGCTGAGGCTGGAGAATTACATGAGTCCAGGAGGTGGAGGTTGCAGTGAACCAAGATTGCACCACCACACTCCATTCTGGGTGACAGAGTGAGACTTTGTCTCAAGAAAAAAGAATTTTTTTTTCTTTTGAGACAGAATTTCACTCTTGTTGCCCAGACTGGAATGCAATGGCACGATCTTGGCTCACTGCAGCCTCCGCCTCTAGGGTTCAAATTCTCCTGCGTTAGCCTCCAGAGTAGCTGGGATTACAGGCGCATGCTACCACACCCAGCTAATTTTTTGTATTTTTAGTAGAGATGGGGTTTCACCATGTGCAAGGATATCATGGAAGTATACAGTAGAGCACTGTAACTGGGAAAACCGGAAAACGGTCTCAGTGTCCATCAACAGGAGATAAAATGGTATACTGTTCAGTTATTGAAGAGAATGTGGTCACTTTGTATCCTATTCCTCTATATGGGAACAGAATTATTATATAGAGATATTAATGTATGTACATGTTTTAGAAATGTGTGGATGTAGTTTGTGTATGCATAGGAAAAGATCTGGAAGGAATATATGTATTTGATATTTCTGAGACATGGGATTTGCAGGGTGACCACTTCCTTTTTCTTCTGATTTTTTTATATCAAACATTTTTTAAACCAAGCTATTTCTGTTTGTGGGGTAAAAGAAAACAACTTTTCTAAGCAGATGTCTTTTTTAAATGAACTCAAGTAAAACATTTTATTTTACAGCTTAGTGAAATCAGTGGGATTCCTTTGGAAGATATTGAATTCGCTAAGGTAAAGCCCTGAGGATGTTTGCATCTGTATATTTGTGCATGATAAACACAACCAGTGGCATGATTCATTCATTCACATCTGTGTATTTGTGCAGGATAAACACGGCTAGTGGTGTGATTCATTTGCATTTGTGTATTTGTGCAAGATAAACATGGCTAGTGGCATGATTCATTCATTCATTCTTTTTCTTTTTAGGGTAGAGGAACATTTCCCTGTGATATTTCTGTCCTTGATATTCATCAAGATTTAGACTGGAATCCCAAAGTTTCTACCCTGAATGTCTGGCCTCTTTATATCTGTGACGATGGTGCAGTCATATTTTATAGGTAACATTCACAATGTTTTTGTTGCTTTTAGTAATACATTTTTGGTGTGCATAAATAGCTTACTTTCCATAAATATCTTTACTGTTTTTATGGTATGGAGCTGCACTAACCGACAGAAATACAGTGACAGCTATACATGATTATAGTTTGAAGTTTTCTAATAGCCACATTAAAAACAATAAAAAGAAACAGGTGAAATTAATTTTTAAAGTATTTTTAATCCAATCCAATATATCCAAAATATTATTATAACATGTCAACAATATAAAAAAAAATTTATAAGATATTTCGCGTTTGTTACTTGTACTGAGTCTTAGAAATATTGTATGTCTGTTATATTTCTGGCATATCTCAATATGGACCAGGCATATTTCACAAGCTTGATAGCCACATGTGGCCAATAGCACAGATGTAGAGGAAAAAGAAGAGTCATTGGAGCCTCACAGATCTGGGTTTTCAAAACTAGCTTTCTGATTTACCTAGCTCCTCATCTATAAAATTGCAACAGTGATGTCTACCTTGCAGGATTTTATGAGAATTAGAGCTGTTGCATGTAAAATAACTGGCACGGTGCCTGTTTTAAATAGATGTTCAATAGTGATAGCTGTTACTACTGCTAATAACATGGAGATTATTCTCAGCCATTTTTAGAAGTGAGCAATGTGTTCTTGTGATAAGCACCTTAGAAATCGGGGACATCCTAGAATATAAAATAATACTTCACCAGTAACAATCAGATTTCAATATCTTGCTGAGGAGCAACATAGCATTGAAGCATACATTAATAGAGGCGGAGGGCTCTACTGGCCTAATATGTGATTAATATTTTATATATAGGGATAAAACTGAAGAATTAATGGAATTGACAGATGAGCAAAGAAATGAACTGATGAAAAAAGAAAGCAGTCGACTCCAGAAGACTGGACATCGTGTAACATACTCACCTCGTAAAGAGAAAGCACTAAAAATATATCTGGATGGAGCACCAAATAAAGATCTGACTCAAGACTGAATCTGATAGTGTAGCATTTTCCCTGGGGGAGTTTGGTTTTAATTAGATGGTTCACTACCACTGAGTAGTGCCATTTTGGCTGGACATGGTTGGGGTAACCCGGTGACACCAGCACTGATTGGACTTCCCTACACCAATCAGAAGCTCAGTGCCCAGTGGGCCACTGTTTTGACTTGGAATCATGTTGTGCACTATAGTCAAATGTACTGTAAAGTGAAAAGGGATGTGCAAAAAAATAAAAAAATTTAAAAAAAAGCAAACCTTCTAGGAAATGGGACAGGGGAATGAGTAAGCGTCTTTTATTGCGGATAAATGTGCACATAGCCGCTAGTAAAACTAGCCTCAAACAGGATGCTCTTAGCTTAATAATAAAAGCCGTGCAAAGGCCATGGATGAATGAATTTTCTGTTTATTTCACTGATACACACATTACCTCATTGACAGTTCAGAAGTAAATGCAACGTGTGTTGACTCTTGGAAAGCAGCAAAAAACAGGAGCTAAAGAAAAGAAATTCGTAGAACCAGCCGTAACCCAGTAAGGAATTGTGAAGTTGTGTTTTTATTTTGTTTCATTTATTGCAGAGTATTAATACATTATTCTGGAATATCAAAACGTTTCCCTTAGACCGCTCCCAGCAGGTGGCAGCTCAGATTGCTGCAGTGTTGTAATTATAACTGATTGTACTTAAGTTATGGATGTAGAGAATATGTTTCATTCATTTATTCAGCATGTAAATAAAATTGATCCTGTTGAGTTATCATAATTGCAGTTCAACTATCTCCCATGGTTATTCTTTTCATGTATCATTCATTATGTACATTTGTGTACATTGAGAAGTATAGCAATCTATATAAATGTAATCCTCAGTGAGGTTCCTCAGTGCTAGGTCCCATAGGATTGTCCTTGCCCTTGTTAATGAGGTTTTTCTGTTAAGTGGCTTCAAATTTTTTCTCTTTGTACATCTAGTTTTGAAGATTTACTTCAAGTTTGAATCTTCTAGAATGCTTGTAAGTCCAGTTTTAATTTTTAGAGTCAGTTTGTAGTTACATGTAGTTTAACTTTGGGGAAACATCTTAACATTGTTTTGAATAAACTTGCTAGTGAGGTCAGGTCATGGTACAGACTGATGTAGTCAACATGATTTCATTGCAAAGTTTATTAGAATCAGCAAGTTTTTGCTTTGCTAAATAAACGTACTCAATGAACACAATTCTACATAAATTTTGAAATACCATCTAATTTATAAAAATCAATAAAAAGGTTTTGGTAAAACTTTTTCATGCCAGATGCTGTTTACAACAATGAACATGCCAATAAAACATTTGTTCATTCTGTTGTGTTATTTTAGTCATTAAACTTCTGTGGATGAAGAATCTGGGTTAAGAATAGATTCATCATCTTTAAATAGAATATTTTGTAATGTGTATTGAATATCTCATTTCTATGATAAAGGTATATTTACAGTAAAGTTCTCAAAGAAATGAAAAGATGTGTTAATATCTAACTTTGGGGAATCCTGTCAGTATTTCACATCAGATTTTTACCCTTTTTTTCTTATAAGAAGATAAAATTTTTTCTTATAAGAAAGATAAAATTAGAAAATAGTGTTAGCAGACATGGCTCTGCCATTTGAATATAATTGGTGAGAATTCCATAATGTCTTAAAAGTCTCCTGGAATCCACAATTAAAAAAACAAATCTTTTCTAAGGTATTTTTCTGGCTAATTTTTATTTCAAGAAACTGTAGTATTGAGCTAAATTTGACTGAAGTAATGTTTTGAGTTTGTGTTAGTGGGATTGGTGATGTTCTCAGAAAACTGGAAGCACTTGTGATGAATTGTATTTCAGATCACTTAGATTTTCTGATGTAAGAGGACAGCTATTTGGTTCTGATACAGGCCTGCTTACTTGGGATATAGGGTTAATAAATGGGGTTTCTGCTTTAAAGGACTGACTTGCTATCGCACTGAGGAGGCAGACTTGTAAACAAAATGGGCTTTGGAGTTTGGTCTGATTGGCTTTGGTTTAGTATTCCTATGAGAGTAAATGGTAAAATTCTTCTGATACCCGCTCCTTAGACTGTGCCTTCTGCTCTGTTCTGTTCTGTGTTTAACTGCTGCTTCTAATTGCAGGTGTATTACAGATACAAATAAGAATAAAGAAAATATATTTCATTATAGAAAAGAAAAATTAAAAGCTTCTTGCTTTTCAGTGCCTGATAGAGTGAAAAGACAATGTTGCACTTTAATGATTTTAATAAAAGCTAATCTCTGTCAGCCTCCCTCTGCTTCAGAGAATCAGGTGAGCACCCATAACCTAACAGGCAGAGCCCCAGCAGTGTAGATCGAGTTCCTTGAGCCCAGGAGCAGTGGAACCTCATGATCTCTTACCTTCTGAGGCTGAGGCAGGCCACATGCAACAAATTGTGACCCTGCTCCCCACAAGTTGTGCAAAGGTTTTGAAGAGCTTTTACCGTGGGGCAGATGAACTTATGTCAATCATGCACACCCTGTGAGAACCAAGTACCTGCGTTTCTAAGGCAGACACTCAAGGTGAGCGGCGCATTCTGGCCAAAGAAACGAAAGCTGTGGTTTCAGGACCATGCCGTGTGTAGCTGGTCGGTACAGGAAGTGTGTGTAAGAAAGAGCAGTGAAAACAGTGTGTGAAGCAGCCTTCACACTAGAGTGTTTGGCCATTGCTTCTAATGTAAGGGAAGATACTTTAAAATTCTGGGAAGCTGTGATGAACCCATGCCCCAGTCAGAAAATAATCAAAGGAAATAGGCATTGGTTGCCAGGCCACAGTTAGGAATTGTATTGTGATACATCTAGAGGCCAAGCGAGCAGGAGAGAGCTACCAACTTACACTGTGGTTTTAAGCTAAACGACCGCTCAGCATCATAGCATTGCAGTGTTGTTACTAAATCTGGAAGTGACCTGTGAATGTATGGAATACAATAAAATCTTTTATTCTGGCTCATTTGCTAGTATTTCCTTTTTGATTGGATACTGTAGTTCTTCCTCTGGATTTTGTTTTGCTCAGCGTCAAGGCCCTAATTTTGCAAATGTAGTCTAAACCACAGTACACGGACTAGAAGATATTCTGAAATAGCAAGTTTTTGTTTGCTAAATAAAACTATTCCGTCAACAATTCTGTGTAATTTTTGAAAAACACCAATATTTTGGTCACTAGTAGTCAAAACCTTATGAGGCCATATGTCCTGAAAGGCAAAACCATGTGTATGTGTGACTTTCCAGGGAGCTGGCAGAACAGTTTTTATGAGGGTTTCAAAGGAGTTCATGGCCCAAATGAAGCTTGTGGCCACCTAGGTTTAGTGTTCATGAAATCGGAAGATGCTCCTTGATTTTAGTTCCTGTGGGGAAGAGGGAGGCTATGATCATTTGGTTAGATACAGATTAATTGTCACAACTTGGCTTTCAGAAACCAGAATACTGCACAAACTCAAGCATGCATTGCATGTGTTACTATTAAGACCATCTTAAAGTTTCAGTAGTTTCATTCAAAACTCCCCTGAATCTCCATATAGTGCCTCCTAGATAGGCTGTCCCTGCCAGCTCCTGCACCAGCTTTACTGGTGTTGGAAGAGGCCAGGAAAAGCAGGGAAAAGACGTGCTTACCGGCTCTTGGCAGTGGAGGTTGTGAGGTTACTGTCCCCTTCTGCCTGGTCACTAGTAACTTTTTTATAGATGTGACGGTAGATGCCCTGTGGATCCTATCAGCAAAGGACCCAACTCCTAACAGCTTTGGTTGTCCCTTACGAAATTAAACTGTGTCTTTTGCCCACCTCCTAACTGCCTACCACTATCCCATGCTGCACTGGTCCCTACCAAGTCTTCAACCCTCAATTCGATCTTCCATCAGTGTCTCAAAGTTCCCCTCAGAGGTTTCAGCTAAGGGAATAAAATCGAATCACTCCTCCCTCAAGGGAAGTGGCAGGGAGGGGAAGAATCAGTTTTCCAAACACCACAATCTTGTATAAGGGGATTTCATCCTCCCTCTGTCATCTTTATACAGGGCAATTGTGCTGCTGCTGCGGTGGCCACTTTAAGCAAACCCTGTGTGCCAGAGCCCAGCTCCATGGCTGTTTGCCCTGAATTCAGAAACCAACCATTGCTATCAAAAAGACATCTCCTAAGAGTTCAGTTGCATCTCTTGAGTATCTGGAGGGGATGCACAGGCCGCGGGAATACCTAATGCCTTTTTCTCATCCTGCCCTCGTCCCTCACGCTACAGCAGGCCCCTCCCTTTCCTCTTCAACCTCATCCTCCTTCCCCACAGGCCCAGAGAACTGGACTGGTGGGTCTTTGTGTCCTGCAGGATATAGTTCATCATCCAGATAGCTCCTGTGTTGGAAATGCTTTTGACTTCAAATAACAGAAAAACTAAATAATATCGGTAGTTTATTTAAGGTGTTCAGAGATGGTGGAGACCAGGATTGGTTTCCTCCTCAACACCAAGAACTCACACTCTTATCTTTCTGTGGTAGGGCCATGTCCTAATCCCTGTATCCTGTGAATATTTACCTGACAGGGCAAAAGAGATTTTGCATATGCAATTAAAGTTAAGGACGTGACACAGGGAAATTATTCTGGATTATCGAAGTGGGTGCAATTTGATCACACGAGTCCTCAGAAGTGAAGAACCTTTCCCAGCTGCAGAAAGCCAAAGAGCTGGCACTTAAGGAGGACAGAACTGTCACTGCAGGATTTGAAGATGAAGGGGGCCATGAGCCAAGAAATGCCAGTGACCTATAGAGGCTAAAAAACAGCAAGGAAATGGACTCTTCCCCATTCCTATTCCAGAGGAATGCAGCCCTGTAGGTCACATGATCACCACATGGCTGCCTCAGAGCCAAATACCGCCTCCTGAGCACCATACTGAAAGAGGGAAAGTGGATGGAGGGCAGGGGCTCCCTTCTTGTTTCCCACTCTCCTTTGGTCAATTGGGAAAAAAATTCCAGAGACTCTGATAGTCCTTGCCTTACATTTCCTGGGTTATGGGGCCAGCCCTAGCTGCTGGGAGGTGGCGGGGGGCAGGGGGAGGGGTACTGGGAAGAGCTGTTGAGTTTACCTGACAGCAAATGAGTTTATCTGCTATGGCTTTTGCAGGAACCCTGGCTCTGGGAGACAGCAGCAAGGTATTGAAGCACCACCTCCACCCAGCCCTTCCCGCAGTTCACTCAGGACTGAGTAAAGGATACACTCCAGCTACTCAGATGCAGGCTTCAGCTAAGTGTTTTGCAAAGCCTCTCATGTCTTACAAGTTTGTGGCTATCATGACAAGATGGAGCAGTCTACTATACTGGCATGTGCAACTGTGGAGGAACCCAGTTTTATCTCATTCACCACAATGTTTTCAATCATTTTTTTGGATGATGTAATTTTTAGCCTCCTCCAAACGCTTCCTTGAGCTTTTTTTGCATTCCAGCCATTGCAAATGACCTGGCATTTCCCCTACATGGCACCTGACCCGGTGCCTCCCTCCCTCTGCCCACAGCCCAGAAAGCCCTTTCTTGTGCCCTGTGGCTTCCTGATAAACTCCCATCGTCTTTGAAAGCCACTTGCCATGACAGCTCTCCCGAGCCAAGCGCTCCACTGAGGCTTCCACGACACTGTTCCCACATCAGGTTGACTGCCTTTGTTTTGTCATTGCTTGCTCTGGCTGTGTCTCCCTCATGAGACTGGGATGCCTTCAGGGTAGGGACCCTATCTGGGTCAGCTTGGCACCCCAGAGGGTATCACAGCCCCTGGTTCTGAGCAGGCTCTCAGTAGATAATCAGTTGAATAATAAGGATGTAGGGTGTTCCTGAGGGTTTTTGACATTGAATAGAGAACAGCTCCCTGTTAGTGATCTTAAAAATCACTATAACCTGGGCATACTGTACTAGATGCTATTTTCATCTGACTTCTACTCTGTCAATCTCTTTGTACCTCCATTTGTTCATCTGTGAAATGAAGGAAATACTCATGGAGTTCAGTGAAGATTAAATGAATGAATATAGGTAGACTGCTTGATCTGGCACTTGCCACGCAGCTGACTTCAACACAGTAGCTCTAATGTTATGGTCCCTGAGGATCTTTCTGTGTTACGGCCCAGAACTGCATTTGATTGAAGAAGTCTCCCCTAAAAATAGCAGTCATATTCCATTTGTCCCTTCAGAAAGCAGTGAAGCATTTACACTGTTTAAGACAAATTCCCATCCAAAGATAGTTAAGATTCCTAAAATATTTTGATGCTCAAAGAGGTGCTTCAGTTGTGTGGAAAATTTGCTTCTATGGAAGAATTTTTAATACAGGTCATTTCTAGTTTACTTTTTCTGGCTAAAAGGATTTTACATTTATTCAAAGTCAGAAGGGAAAAGAAATCTGAGAACTACAGAAGAGCAGTTGGCATGATTTATGCCTGATTTCTAAATGCAACATGTGTTTATACATAATTTAAAACCCAAAGAAAGCATGCTTATACAATCATGTGCAACTTTAAACTTTAATAACTCTGGATGAATACATGATGGCAACAGTCCATGACACCTGAAAACATCATTTGTGGAGTGGTGTAGAGTTCAGCGTTTGCAGTCTGCATATTACAACCATATTTCACACAGCCCTGCTTGGTTTCATTTTCTCCATGTAGTTAATGGTCTTCAGTTGCTAAGTGATTCTGCAAATTTCATTTATAATCCTCACCCTACAATTACCTAAGTCCTGTTTCTGCAAGTTAACTTATATGCTACGCTCAGTCATGTACCTTCAAAGTTACTAATGCAACTGCCAGAGGGGGACAGTGTCAACACCACTGTCCCCATTAGGATGGCTGCCCTGTGCTGTGAGAGCACTGCTGTTCCTAACAGAAGTTTAATCTTAGAGGGATTTGAGAATTGGTTTGACCCTAATTCCAGATGTGCATGCCTCAAAAGAAAAATCCCATTCTCCTTCATTTTGGGGAGAGCTTTTGGTGGCACCAAGCCTGGTGTGGGGTAGTGGAGAGAGCACTGAGCTTGGAGTCACAACCAGGTGAAACTGCTCTGGTCTTCACTAGCTGTGTGACTTGGGCAAGCAGCTTGCAGTCTCTGAGCCTCTGAGATCCCTGATGGATGAGGAGAACAATGGCCCCTTCCCCAGGCTGTGCTGAGAGAAGGAATTGATTGTGGATATAAAAACACTGCCCTGGCACAGAGGTCGGAGCTGAGCAAAACTGCTGGATGAATTAACACATGTAACGCAGGGTGAACAGAACATTGCACTGGCAACAGCCAAAGGCGCAGCTTTCCTATGCCCATGGAAAGAACTGTGTGGAAAATTCATTTGTTGCATTTTTGCCAGGTTGATGTTTGCAAAGCAGGGCACTCTTCACATTTCCCAAAACCATCATGGGGAGACTCCACATTCTTTCCATCTCCTCCTCTCAAACAATTATCAAAGCCATGTAGAACAAATTGCCGTCTGCCAACCGGTAGAGGCAAAGCAGCCAATGATCTGGACAGGGGAGGCAGCCTGGTCCTGTCCTTTCCCTGCCCGACTTTCCCAAGCACCAGACCGTGACACCTGGAGAACAGCCCGGGGGAGCTGAACAGCACAGCATCTCATGCTGTCAAGCCAGAGGGGAAAATTGACTGGGAAGAAGATGTAGGAAGAAGCCTGGTCAGCCCACGCCTAAAGCACACACCTGGGGAAATAAATTAGCTATTTCTATTGCACACCTATCCACAGCCTGGTCCGGATCTAAATCTCTTCCCCTCCCAGCAGTGCAGCGGCGACAGCCGCAGGCTCCCCCAGCGCCATCTCCTCCGTCAGGCTTCGCTCCAGGTCCTCCAGCTCCTGGCGCACCTCCTCCATGAAGCTGCCAACTTCATACTCATCAGGGGCTTCCCTGGGCAGCAGGATCTCCCCATCTTGGTCACGGCTCCCCACAAAGGCCGGCTTGCACACGTACACCAGGCTGTGGCTGGGGAGACATGG